GCAGAGATGATATGCAAGACTACTTGCAAACAGCTGAAAGTGTCAAAGAGCACTAGTGTTTACATTCAGTACATCGACCTATGAACAGCTTACTGTGCAGCTGCCTTTACACATTAAACTGGGATGACAGAAAATATTTTAACATTTAAAAGAAATACACACTTCAATACCAATCATTGATTTTTAGGAGCAAATTATAGCCATTTCATCACACCTCTGACTTGAAGATTTATGCATTTGTTGAGATCAAACTCAGCATTTGGGATGAAGCAGCAGTACGACCCTTCATCCCTTTTCTGAAGATTCCCAAGCCTGAGGGAGAAGTTTCCTTTTGAATACTCTGCAGGGAACGTTTCAGTTCTGCCCTTGTACTCTGCGTCCTGCTCCTTCGTCGTTCCTTGGCCATTTAGTATGTCGTAAACATTTTTGCTATCGTTATATCTCCAGTGTGCAGTGTTGACTTTTAGTTGCCCGGACTCGCACGGCAAAAGTGCAGAATCTCTGATAAAACCCTGAACTATGTCCTGCACAGATGCTGAAACAAAAGCAAAGACAGACCAGGAACATGCAAAAGACAGTCAATGCTGAATTGAAAGTATATTCAAATGAATATCTTGAATATGAACATTTTTTGTGCTTACCTTCATTCAAAAGTAGTATAAAGAAACAGACGAGCAACGCACTGCAAAAAACAAACACAAAACCATCACACAGACACAATAAACTGTGAGGAACTACTGTTCACAATAGTAAAGATATGCCTCAGGGTAGTTACTTCCGTTTCTTAAAAATAGCTTTTCCTGAGAGGACTGAGACTTCAACAACAGGCACTGCAGCGACACAGAGGTCAACGAAACGTCATTTATGATGACAAAAGTGGCTGACGAAACCTATAGCAGTGAAGTTTATATAGACAGGCGGCTTTTGTAGAAGTGTGAAGATCCAGAAGACGTTTAGTGAAGAAAGTCTGGGTCACTTTAAATAAGCTGGACATTTATATACATTTACACCAATGGTAATGGACAATGGCGTATTTGGATTATTAAAAATCGTTTAAAACAGATTATTGCTTTATGCAATATGATTACATAGATAATATCATTAATTAACCTGAAATTACCTGCAACAGGTGCAGTCTGACGTTAGATATAATACAAACACATAAACTACATCATATAATACACAGAGCAGGCCTAAATATATGCAATAACATTCGATTTGCTTTCATTTATTTTTCCAGGAGTTTTGGATAAACGAGTTGTGTTTATGTTCAACTAGCCTGGCAAGCTAGTTATTAGAAATAGAAGCTAAACCGAGCCCTAACTGCGCAACCAGACGGAACGAATTCCTTGGACATTACAATTTTCTGTTCCTAACAATATGTCGGACTCGTTCTCATCGTAAACGAATCGATATTTGTAGATGTATAGTGACTGAAGCCTAGCTAACACAAAGCCTGTAGCGTTTGCTAATAGCAACACTGAGTGTCCGCTTTTGTCCCGAAGGCCAGAGAATAAAGATGTCTAACTGCTAGACGACGACAGTTTCCGCACAACGTACCTTTTGAGCATGATGGACATATTTATACTAATGTAAACGAACAGTTATTGGAGAGATTAAGAGGACATTTCAGCTTAATTGGACTGGATAGTCCGCAACTACTGAACATGCGCAGTTCATATCTGTTTATATTATCTTGTTGTGTAAAATAATAAAACGTTTGATTAAAGTAGGCTACAGTATAAGTGTTGTA